TTGTGCTTGTCTATAAAAAAAAGAAGAGTCTTTAAAGCAGATGGAGTGGTTACTCATTTGTCATTATTGCTGTTGTTGCCCTTTAATAAAGAACTACTAATGTGATTTTGATAGACACTTGATCGTGATCAATATCAATCGGTAATACGTCTGAACGATAATTTCACTGATCCGCTCAGCCTTCTGGGGGATGTAGGCAAACTTCATGCTCAATGTTTTATGACCAGCTAATCAAGGGAAGCGGCACTGGTGATCATCTTGGCGAACCGAAAAGATGTTGCCATTAACACCAATATGGTTTAATACCACAGCCAACTTTGGTGAATTATAGTATAATAAGTTTTTCATTATCGTGAGACAACTCAATGTTCTCACAATGTTTATAATTTCAGCAATAATGGAATACATATAGATTATTGTTTATTTTTGAGACAATGAAATGCATTACATTTTTTAATTATTTTTATTATTTTCAGAAGATTGGGGAATGCTGGGGGTAATTGTAAAGGGTTTTAATTTACAAAATGTCCTTCCCTGCTTCATATATTTAGTTGTTTGCTTTGAACACTGTAAAATTGAATAACAGCTGTGCTTAGGCCTTTCCAACTCACGTGACTGAGCATAGACATGCAGTCATACTTTGCTCTTTTACTGTGCATCTTATTAAGACTGAATCATTGTGCTTGTGGTTTCAAAATGTGCCATTTTAAAACCCACAATCCTAATTTTGATTGTAGAAGAAGAAAACAAAGCTAGATGGAAGATAGTTGCACAGAAAGCCAGCAGGAAACACAGCTGTGAATACATTTGCACTTGTTTTTCATTTCTTTCTATTCTAAAGGCCAGCTTGTCTCCAGTTGTTGCAGCTGAACATACAGTCTCATGCAGATGACTGTGGATCATTTGACAAGCAGACCTTCCTCTTCCTGCTTGCGATATCCTGTAGAAATTAAATATACTTTCGGAAAGTAAAAAAAAAAAAAATTCATGATCAAACCAGGAATCAGTTATATTTTCCAACTTGGTTCTTTTTAATGTCAAAAAAAATTTGTGGTCTGTCTTTTGATGTTAAGCAGCGCATTAAGCTAATATAGAAAGGTGTTAATTGTCAGGGTTTTCTCTACAATTGCTATGAAATTACAGAAAATTAATGAAGCTTTATTAACTTGTTTTTATTAACGTGTGTGTGAATGATGTCCATTGTTTGCAGAACTCCTCCTGTGTTTAACGCCAGGTTTTAACCTGAACTGTTGAGGATCTGATTACATTTTTTTCCTTCCTTGTCCAGTCCTCTTTGAGATGCACTATCAATAGCTGAATATGAGTCTGTGTGTAATTAAAACCACTCTTCAGACTCTGCTGTTTTTATATTGTACGGGAGACTCAAAACAAAATCTCATTTAGTGGGAAACAAATTTTTAAAAAATGTTCTCATCGGAAACCTTTTGACTTTATGAGTTTTGAAAATCAATTTCAAAACTCAGTGATCCAACATTGGCTGCTGCCCCTCTTGTTTTTGTTTCCTTTTAGATCTTCTCGATTTTGTCTATTTTTAAGAAAGGAAAAAAAAATATTCTGAGTCTCTGGAGGTAGACACCGACACCACAGAGAGAAACCAAGTCAAACGGTTTTTTTTTGTTTTTTTTTGTTTTTTTGAAGAGCAGTTTCCTGATTTAATTCGCCCTGCCTCTGCCAGTACTGGGTCACGGGAAACACCTTGCAGCATCATATCGCATCGCAGCTGCATCTGTGTCTGTTTTCATTTTCCTTTTTCCCCCACTGGGGATTTCTTTTTTTTTTTTTTTTTTTTTTTTTTTTTCCGGGGGGTTTTTTACACTGCCAAGATGGGATGCTTGCTTGCTGCTGCGGGTCTTTTTGCTGCTCAGCTGGTCTGAATGTATCCAACCAGCTCTGCTGGATTTTGTCCTGAAGCGTTTCCATCCAATCAGGGATTTTCTAGTGGCCATTACAGCATCCTTACATAATGTCATGGCGTTAAGTAAACAGATGGGACATGAAGCATCTGGATGTTTAAGTGACTAATTGACCATTCTTTTCTACGGGTGCTTCAAGGCATCCATTTAGAGCTAAAAGGATATAGATTTATTGCGGTCGCGCGTGGATGTCAACCTTTTGTCTCAGCTCAAGACACAACAGCGAGTTATTTTTAAATTTCTCCTGCAGCACGAATAAAAATATCTTGAAAGCACAGCTTTCCTGGAATGAACTGACCCAATTGCTATTAAAGAGGTTATAGAGGTCCCTTGATTTAAAGAAAATCAAACCCAAAGATCCTCAGAAACTTGCATATCAGAACCTTATATAGTATTTGTTGCTGGTTTCACAATTTCTGCCCACCATTTTTACCACAAACTGCTAGATAAAAGTAGCAGGAGGCCTAATCATTCTCCCTGAACCATAACGTTACCCAGACCTCACAGCAAGCCTTGTGTCCGTTGTCCTGGACACACCGGTGTGTCCCGTGGGTCCTGATATTGCATTAACATGCGCGGTTTCCATGCCAACAGCCTCATAAATAGACAGCGTCCATATTGGAAAGTAAGGACAAACGGGTAGGGGGAAAAATCGAAATGAAAATCACTTGAATTCCCACCAAACAGGTGCATTATTTTCACCATTAGTCATAAATGCACGCATAAAACACACAGGTATCTTGTGAATTTTATTTTTGATTTTTTTTATATCTCTGCCTTAATGTAGTTCTCTCTGGATTTATATCAGCACAGATGCCAAGCATCCACACAGTGGAACTGGGGAGAGGTTAGTCAGTCCCAGAAAAGCCACTGTGCTTTTCTGGCAGTACTAAATCGTAATCTAATCTGTGGTAATCTTGTCCCAAAAAAAGTACCAAAAAAAAGCATGCGAGCACTTGATACACTCCCTACGAGCTCATAAAACGACCTTCATTCTGTTAGTGCAATTTGGAGGTCTTGCCAGACAACATCCACCTAATAAACCTGAAGTTATCAAAACCCGCGGTGTGGCCCGTTTAGGGGGCCAAGGAAACCAAACTGCTTCGATAGACATGATGTATAGCATCAATAAAGTTTCTTCTAATCTTAGTGCTGTGATTCTTCTTCTCTCTGATCCGGAGACAAAGTCAACATCAGCTAAAACACAATTTTAAGGATATCTTGATTTTCTGACAATGTTGAATTTGTAAAACTTTGGATATTATCAAGTTTCTAAGGGATTCCAGTCTTTAAAAAAATCACCTGGTAGAAAAGTGTGGGAAAGGAGAGGAAAAAAAAATGGCCAAAAGATTTGACCTTCTTTATAAAAAAAAAAAGAAAAAAAGATGACCTTTAAAGATTTGAAGTTGGTATGAATCAGAAGCACAGTATGCTTTTACTCTTTCACACCCACACATGTGACCGGTCTGAAGAAGAGGAGGAGGAGGAGGAGAGCACTGAGCCCTGTGTGAAAAGGGTAAGGAGAGAATAATGGCCATATTAGTCCGGACAACAGAGTCTTGTTGGAACCTGATGCTGTTATGTTGGCATCTGGATGAGAAGAGTGTCGGTCGGTCAGAGCGGCTGAAACCCTCATCAGCTAATGGTGAGCATTCGCCGACATTCAGCTGGCTCTTTGGGGGTAGCAGTGGGGGTGGGAGGGATTGTTAAATGGCTCAAATTGGGTTCGGACAATTTCGGGATCAAGTTTTGTTTTCCGTGCATGCATCTAAATGCCTGTGCGCACGGGCCTGTTTTCTGCAAACCGTAACGTTGCGCAATAGATGTGTCTGTTCTGTGGTCTGCATTGTAGCGACAGGACTCAAAAGCAATCGAGTAGCTGCAGTTATTTAATTCCGTCGTGTTTCATAAACCTGTTTTCAAGGACGGCCTTTTTTCAAAGATGAACTGACGGAGAACGAGGGGAGGAAGTGTGACGCACGCTGCGGCTATTCATCAACTCTCCAAAGCTTCTTTCAACTTTCGTCATTTGTAGAATTGGCAAAAACCTCTGCCTTTTGTAAAAATAATAACATAAGATCATAACAATGCTCTACATTCTGTTTGGCATTCAGCAATGGTTTTATTTTTTCAGTCTCTTGCATTTAATTCTCCTCCACTCGGATGTTTAGTCCTTCTTGCAGGATTTATTGCCTAATAGGTTAGCCATTTGTTCTCTGAACAACTATCAGTTATGATGCGTCTGGCTATCAGCTCTGATGTAAGAGTGGAAAGAAAGTGATAGGATCATGCTCGGCTTAGTGATCTGGCTGCAGAGCATGGCCTCATTTCAAAGAGGTAGTATGACTGTGCTACCTTGTGTGGCCTTGTTTGATTTGATAATAAAGTTATTGTTTGCTTTATCTTTCAAAGAGAGAGAAAACTCAAAACTCGGCTCTCTGTACACGCACCGACGTTGCTGCTGTTCTGTCATCTTTGGTTGACTTTTATTGTTTTGATTTTGTAACTTTTTATTTTAAAAGCTGACATTTATTGATTTAAAAAAAGTCTCTAGAGTTTTATAACTTTTCCTTCACAAATTTGCTCAAGCTTGTAGCTCACAGTAGTTGAATGAAAATGGTATTCTACCAAACATGCATGAGCGGGAAAAAAAAACCCCTCCGTAAACCAGTGGCCAACCAAGACAAAACTTTTGAATGAAAATTATTCTAAGGCATAGATTAGAAGTTCCCAAACTCCGCCCTTAGAAGCAATCCGGTTTATTAAAAAAAAAACAAAACTAGAAACCATAGTGAAACTATGCCTTTTTTTACCTAAGTTTATGCTCACAAACAACACCTGTAGTCAAAAGATTCCACTAGAGCGATCTGTTGTGTTGTGAACTCTAAACCTTTGCATGTTTGCTAATGAGTAACCATGCACTCATTCCACATAGTTCCACCGAAGATGTTCTCTACTTTCAAGATTTTGATGTTTTTAATCTCCAACGTATGACAGCACTTGAGCTTTACATGTGTCCCAAGTGTCATTTCAGTTCTGAATCCCTGCTCTTTGTCTTCTCCTCAGATCCAGTTTGCAGACCAGAAGCAGGAGTTCAGCAAGCGCCCGTCTAAGATCGGCCGGCGCTCTCTGTCCCGCTCCATCTCCCAGTCCTCCACTGACAGCTACAGCTCAGGTAAACAAACAGTCTGGCTGTTACTCAGTCACCGCAACTCGCCGCTTATCAGACATTCCTGACTTTCCAACACTTTTCCTTCTGATTCCGCCTGGATGAATATTTGACTAACCCTCCCCCCGTCTCCTCATCAACCATCTCTGTCCTCGCTCTCACAGTCTAACCCTGTGGTTCTCACGAAACCGTGGGCTCTGTGTTAGCGGATTAGCTGCCGGTGGTCTCCCAAAAAATAAATAATAAAATCCTGTATCTTATGCTATAGCCGGAAGAGGCTACAGAATTGAGCTGTAGATTGATTAGTTGTTGAAATGTTAATTAGTGAAAGAGGAGGTGACTTAGAAAATTGATGCACAAACAACTGTTAAAATATTAACTATTCAACCTACTTTCTGTAATCTATAACTTATGGGATCAGCAGCTTTGTGAGCAATTACTCTGTCCTTTCTGGGAAAACTGTTATTCTTATTGGTACTTAGAATCAGATGGCACACTTTACACAAACACTCATTTATCCGATTTCCTGGAACGACGACAGAGCGGAGAGGTCACAAAGTCTGAGGAATGGCTAACATCAGAACCCTGTTCGCATTGTTGATGCTCACAGCTCTTAACCTTTTGACCTCTCCCCTCATCCTCGTTTTTGTAAACAATTAAATGCTTTCCTGCGTAATGTGCTCGGACTTGTGCTTTTTAATACCCCGCTGTGTGTCAGGAGTCAGAGCCTCCAATGAAGCCATTAATGTAATGAATTAATCTGCACCGTGGTCCTCTGCTTTGCCAAATGGACATTTGGACGCTGAGTCACACTTAGAGGAGGGGAAGTCATGGACTCCCCAGGATCACAGGCGCTTTAAAAACAATTTTTGCCGCTCTGCGCTTTTAGTGAGACAGTTTGTCATGTTAGCGACAAAACCTTTGAGTGTTGAATTGGAATTTTATTTGCAGTGGTAGGATGACAAAGCACAGATTAAAAAGGTTTGCAAAGATAAGAATCTGTGTATTCATCCTCTTTTTTTGTTAATTTTTATACTTATCTTGATTTTAAATTGGGGAAAATATAAATAAAATGGTGGTTCTTTAAAAATGACAACACATTTCCTATATCTAAAATGATAAATTGTCTTTTTCAAAAAGTTGCAACATTATTGGCAATAAATGAGATTAATTAGGTTATTATTTTCTGTAGATCTAATGGGTAAAAGGTGATTGTTTTGTCATTTTGTCTCTAATCAGAGCAAATATCTCTATACTTTAAAAGATAAAAGCCAACAGAGTAGCAATTGGTATAATTATGATCCTGCACAAACAGCACAGAGTGAAAGTTTAACTCTGAAAAAGCAGCCGCAGCATGAAGTCTGGCGGACGCGTCGTCTCTCTGATGTTGCTCGGTAACTAAGCGAGACAGATTTATCGTCACTTTTACTGGGTCATCCAGAAAGCTTGGCCTGGTCAAGTTTGAATTACAGGGTATTAAGAAAAAAGGCCAGTGCTGCGAAACCTTTCTCCAAAACCAGGTTTAGCATTGCTGAAAATAAACACTGTGTGTCCTTTCCCTTCACTGACGTTTTCACCTGCGGTGGCTTGCAGCGGCGTCGTACACCGACAGCTCCGACGATGAGACCTCACCCCGGGACAAACAGCAGAAGAACTCCAAAGGCAACGGAGACTTCTGCATCAAAAACATCAAGCAGGCCGACTTCGGGCGCAGAGAGATCGAGATCGCAGAGCAAGGTAGAACCAACACACTCGGAAGGAGTTCGATCACATCGGTGCAGGGCTAAACACGCGGATAGCATCTTTCAGCATCTGCAACTCCTTCATCTGGACGACTGGATGGATCAGAGCTCAGCTAATGAGATTAAAGATGGGAATTCCTTTCACCTTCCAGCTAATTCCAGCTTCCGCTTTGTGTGTGTTTCCCTCTCTGCCAGAGATGCCGGCACTGATGGCGCTGAGGAAGCGTGCTCAGGGGGAGAAACCCCTCGCTGGTGCCAAGGTGGTGGGCTGCACGCACATCACCGCACAGACCGCTGTGAGTGACACGACAAAAACGCAACGTGTCGACATCTTTAGTCTGGGAAAAAAAGTCAAACTACGCAGCTTTGTTTATTGTTTTTCCCAGGTGCTGATGGAGACTCTGTCAGCTCTGGGCGCTCAGTGCAGGTGGGCAGCCTGCAACATCTACTCCACCCAGAATGAAGTGGCTGCAGCTCTGGCAGAAGGAGGTGAGAACAGTTTGAAAGCCTTCAGTCCAGAATCTTTCTATCGTCTCGTTCTTGTTACGTTTTTGTCAACTCTGCGCTCTTCGCTTCCTTCCACTCTGCAGGTTTCAGCGTGTTCGCCTGGAAGGGTGAGTCAGAGGATGACTTCTGGTGGTGCATCGACCGCTGCGTCAACGTGGAAGGCTGGCAACCCAACATGGTAGCAACCGTCGTTTTTCCCCTTTTTTTTAACGTAGTTTTCAACGCATGTGTAACACAATGAAATGTATATTTTTGTAATTAAAAAGTTACTTAATTATCTGTTTATTCATCTATAATGTATTTATGTTACTGTATAAAATGGCTTAAGTAGTCGAATGAAAAATCAGCTGAATTTGCCAATTTTTTTCAATTTTATCCAGATTGTCATTAGAATAGTGATTGCTAAAATAATCATTAGTTGCAGACCTAATCATATAAGACTGCTTCCTAACCTCTTTATTTTAAATCCCATTTTTCTCCCCAGATCCTGGATGACGGTGGAGACCTGACGCACTGGATTTATAAAAAGTACCCCAACATGTTCAAGAAGATCAAGGGCATCGTAGAGGAGAGTGTTACTGGAGTCCACAGGTAGGATAAGCAGCGTCCATATGTCCTCTTCGTTTGGCATGAATTTTTTTTTCTTTATGTTAAATATTACAGATACGTTTTAGTTGAAAGATGATTAAACTGATTCTTTGTATCTTTAAAGATTCAAATTTGTAAAAACCTGCACAGTAACAGAATAAGACCCTGTTTGCATCCATTGTCTAGTTTGGCAGCATTGCCATCTAGTGGTGGAAAGTGGCACAATTTTTATCTGCGCTCACAGTTTGATGCAAACGATTTAAAATAGAAAATACATTTGAAACGCTTTATGTTTGGATTCTGATTTTAGTTGTGGCATCAAATAGATCTAATAAGAAATGTGTGTGTGTGTGTGTTTGTGTGTGTGTGTGTGTGGGTGTGGGTGTGGGTGTGCGCACGCAGGTTGTACCAACTATCCAAGGCGGGGAAGCTGTGTGTTCCAGCCATGAACGTCAATGACTCTGTTACCAAGCAAAAGTTCGACAACCTTTATTGCTGCAGAGAATCCATCTTGGATGGGTATAAAACATGTTTTCTTTCCTTACAAATTGCTTCCAATGGTAGAGAAGCAGCAGCACTGAAACACGCATCTGTGTCTCCAGCTTGAAGAGGACCACCGATGTGATGTTTGGAGGCAAACAGGTGGTGGTGTGTGGATACGGAGAGGTAAAGTCAATGGTTTTGTTTAAGTCACATGTTCCTGCTGATGTTCTGCTAAAATTGAGAAAAATCACTCTAGAATCACCAATAACAGCAGGATGTTTGAGTACTTTTTAAGAAAAAGTTCATTTAAATTGCCAGCAAACCTCACCTTTAAGAATGGTGCTGAAATGTTCAACAGGTGGCAGTCAGAGCTCTGGGAAGGCGGTTCAAACAAAATTAGTCTGATTGATACATACCTGAGACACATTTGATGCGTGTTTTGGTTTATAGACATGTTGGAACGCCCAATTGTGTCCAATTTTTAACCATCTGACTCAAACTGTTGGTTTTGATTGAAAGGAAATTGAGAACAACCAAGCAACTCCAGTCTGTCCAAAACTGGAAGCTACAGAAACTTCAACTCTATAAAAAATTCTTAGCCTGAGAGAAAATCCACAGTAATCAAACATGCCCAGCCAATTCTCGTTAAAAATCAGTGCATCATCATCTGAGGTGTCAGTGTCTGTGTTATTATTACATCACAGTAGACCGCGACTGCAATGATCACAGCTCCAGCTCTGGTCTGCTATCTGGAAATGCTGTGTGCATTTCTGCCCGCGTTTCTTTGTAACACACTGAATGCACCTCCATGAACTGAAAATGACCAGTCCTTCTATTTTCTCCTCCCTCAGGTTGGGAAAGGTTGCTGCGCTGCCCTGAAAGCCATGGGCTCCATCGTCTACGTCACAGAAATCGACCCCATCTGTGCCTTGCAGGCCTGGTGAGCTTGAGTTTTTCTTTATTTTGGCTCATTTATATTGCAGGAAAGTCACTTTTTACTATTACTGCAGCTAACGATTATTTTAGTAATCGATTATTCTAGCGATTAATCAAGTAATCGCATTTAAAAATTGGCACTTTCTGAGGAGCTTAATTGTCTTACAGTATTTGAAGCAGACGGAGCTAAAACTGTGCCTTTGAATTCTGGGTTGACTATATTCACAGACATAGAAGGTTTTTTATCTTAAATGCAAAACTTGTATATTTCTGGTACAATTTTGTTAGATTCTCCTCTGAATATATTCTTTCATGGCCATAATTGAATGACCGATTAATCCATTCCTAAATGAGTCGTTTCAATTGATAGACTAATTGTGGTTATTAAGTCGTTAGTGATTTATTATCAATTAATCATTAGTGATTTTCTTCTTTTTTTTTTTTAGCATGGATGGCTTCAGACTGGTGAAACTTAACGAAGTCATCAGACAAGTGGACATCGTCATCACCTGCACAGGTTGGCTTGCTGCTTTCACCCTGGACCGCTGGTCTTGACATTCTGCTGATCCAGTCACGGTGCAGACGTTCACGGTTTTTGTTGCGTCTTGTTCAAGGTGACTAGACGGGTCACTGAGTCGGCGAAATCATCCGCAGAGGTCGCTAATAAAGTTCTGAACCTCGAGGGCGAGGGAGCTGACGCTGACCTTTGGATTAGAGCAGAGAATTACTGGCCACCAGTTTGTTACCAAATGCCGCCCGTCAGGGTTGAAGCGTAGGCTCTGCAATCGTAGCGAGTTGCACAAGAACAAGTCAGCCTTGAAAAACCTAAACTTACAAAAAAAAAAAAACATACCTTCACAGTTCTTTTTCATATGATTCAATGCATTTAGGTCCATTTCCATATAGTACACCAACAAAAAAAAAAACACCATTTGAACTTTGACCCCTCTTTCTTTGTGTTTGTAGGTTTTCTAAGTAATGGGCAGCTGCTAAAATATTTCATAAAGAATGTTTTCTCATAGTTTTAATGCGAAAACAAAATTCTTTAAACCTTCGTATTGTTTCGACATGTTGAGTCAACTCTAATTAAATTCTATTTCCAGACCTAATTAGCTTTTCTCACATTCTAAGATAAGTAATTAAGTTAGAAGTGATGGAGGCAGACTCGGTTGTCTCATCCTGACCTCATATGATTTTTTTTTTTTTTAATGTGCTCTTGTCTCAGATTGAATCACTCGTCCACCTCTTCTTTTCTTCTTCGTTAGGTAATAAGAACGTTGTGGTGAGAGAGCACCTGGACCGCATGAAGAACGGCTGCATTGTCTGCAACATGGGGCATTCCAACACCGAGATCGATGTGGTCAGTCGGCAACTCTGTAATGACATCAGACGCCTTTAACAATGCCTGCTGATCTTACTGTTTATGTTGCAGGATTTTGTAAGAAATTTGGAAATGTGTTTTAATTTTGGGGGCTTTTAAGTCAAGTAGGAGCACAAGGACTAAGTGTTCTTAATCATATGATTCATCATGGTGGCTGGGGAAAAGATGATCTTCCACATGTAGAGGCTAAAATGGCCTTGAATTGTTTTTGTTCTGCAGGCCAGCCTGCGGACCCCTGAACTAACCTGGGAGAGGGTTCGCTCACAGGTGGACCACATCATCTGGCCGGACGCCAAGAGGATAGTCCTGCTGGCAGAGGTGCTTTACTCTCCGCCTAAAAACGTCCAAACAAATCCTGTCGGCCTGACTTACTGTTGTGAACTGGATCGCAGATTGAGCCGACTAATGTTAGTCAGAGAACAGTTAGAGATACAGAAAACCAATGTGGTTGCATCCAAATATATAAAGTTAGTGTGAAATATATATCAGGGCAGCATGTGTTGCCTGGATAAGATTTGTGAGCGAATCATGAGCCATGACAGAATGAGAGCAGCTCAGCAGGGCCGGCCGCGCTGCCAGCTCCTCGGAGCCGACGACTCTGAGCCCGTTTGATCTGAAGCAGGTTGAAACCACATCAGTGAACCTGGAACTAAAAGCTCGTTTTGTTTCATATTTCTTTTATGATTTGCAGGCTTTCCTCTAAGACCTTTTTTTTTTTTTAAACAAAACTCCAACCTGTGTACGTGACTAATTCGTTTCATTCCCCAACGTCACTCAAGGGACATTAGGAAGAGTCACAGTACAGAACACTTATTATTTCTGCATTCCTCAGAAGTTGAGGGAAATGTGTCACAATAAAAAAACATTGAGCTTACAACATTGAAAATACAAAACATATATGTAGGTAGACATCTCGGATGCTTTAATAGTTTTAGCATGTTTTATAAACGTCTTCATTCTGAAGGTGTGGTGGCTGTTATTTTGCCTCGACAGTGAACTGTAAGCAGTTTTATGTAGAGGAAACCCTGATATGTAAAAAAAAAAAAAAAAAAAAGGCTTTTACTCTGTTTTGTCTTTGTGAAAGATTGAGCAACACCAAGTTAGCAGAAGTGTGTTTTTAACGGGTTTTGTTTTGTTTGAGTGTTGTTTTTCATTTTCTCTCCAGGGCCGTCTGCTGAACCTCAGCTGCTCCACTGTGCCCCATTTGTGCTCTCCATCACCGCCACGACCCAGGTACATTTCTGTTGTTTTAACTCATTTTGTTTCTCTCTTTTTTTTTTTTTCTACATTTACATCTATTTTAGTTTTTTTTGTGTGTGTGTGTCTGTGACGAACTGAGAAGTCTGCTCAAACGTGTTGATGTCATTCATTTCCCTGCAGGCTCTGGCCCTGATAGAGCTCTACAACGCCCCCGAGGGACGGTACAAGCAGGATGTTTATCTGCTGCCCAAGAAAATGGGTAAAAATGTCTTCAGTTTGATGCTATTAAAGACGGATCATGCATGCATGCATGACTGAGAGAGAAGCCTGGTAAAGAGAGGCAGATGTAGGTCACGCTGTCAGTGAATGAAAAAGGGCTCGTATGAGAAAAAGAAGACAGTAGTTACCCTGGATTTCCTCTTTTTCCTTCTTGTAAATTGTAATTTTTCAGGTCAGAGATCCTGGAAAATGCCAAGATGTTTACTCTCTCTATATTTTTTTTTTCTCCTGCTGTCCAGATGAGTATGTGGCCAGCCTACATCTCCCGACGTTTGACGCGCATCTCACAGAGTTGAGTGATGAGCAGGCCAAGTACCTGGGCTTGAACAAGAACGGGCCCTTTAAGCCAAACTACTATAGGTAAGCTGCTCCAAAATGGCCACTTCCACTCCACATTTGCTGCAGCTTTTTTTGCATTTAATACATGAAAGTTAGTGGTTTTTAGTTGGTTACTGAATTCTCTTCCTTCTGTTCTCTTTCTGATTAGAGCTTTCCATTGTTTTCTTTTCTTTTGTTTTCCAGGTATTAAACCATTGAGTTGAATGAGGAAATATCAGTTCTCCATAAATGGCACAGACTCAGCAGGAGAAGAGGAGGACAGGGGGAAGGAAGGACAGACGGCATAGTCAAAACACCTCCTTTACATGTGGAGCAAAGGAGAAGCCCCGACTTTTCCTGTTTCCTTCTTTGTTTCATTCCCACCCGCCCACAGTAATAATGTGTGTTAAAAAAAAAAAATCACTCGCTCCTCGTCGAACAAGAGTCGTTTCACTTTCTCCCTCGTCTCTCTTTAGATGCGTCGAGTTTCCGTTACTCCTCCTTCCTCCCTCCACGCTGCCAGAATTTTGATTCTTTATCTCTTAGAAAGATGAAACACAGACTCTGTAAGCAAAACTTTGATTGTTTTTTTGTTTTGTTTTTTTTTTTTTAAAGGTGTGCAAATGAAGATTTAGTCAGGGACAGTTTTTCCCTTTTTTTGCTGTTTTTTTCCCCCTCCCTCATGTTCTTTTGTTTTCTACCTTTTGATTTTCAGTTCTTTCTTTTTTTTCCAAGAAAACAACAAAAATAGGGTGGGTTGCAGATCTTGTGTGAGGGCCTCAGGGGTCCAATCATATCGTGTATTTTAATGGGTTTTTTTTGTTTGTTTTATTTCTATGAACATAACTGGATGTTGTCTTGCTCTCCTCACCTGTCTCTTAACCCCACAGTGAAACCACCTCATTGGCTGCTCTTTTGGTCTCCAGCTGCTCAAAACACCAGTGTTGAAGTCACAACAAGTATTTAATCATTTTCTCGTTTTTTTCCCCCCTTTTCTTTAAAAAGAAAGACTATACTGTAGTAGAAGCATGACAGATTGTCAAATCATTACAAAGGTATACTGTATATTTAGATATTTATATAGAATTTAAGATTTTTCTATCTTTCCATCTGATATTTCATTTTTGACCGAATCGTCGCGTCGCACAGAGAAGCAACTAAATGTTCCAATCATCTGTAATAAATGTGCTCAAACCCTCATTCCGAATACTGTGACAGAATATTTACATAGCATGAAGCAGTTTGTTGCAGGTACTCCATAAAAAAAGTATGGTGCTTTATTTTATCTTATTTTATTTTGTTTTGTTCTTGCCATACACAACATCAACAGGTTAAGGGTACTGAAACGTGTCAATCACTCGCCAACTTTCTGACTGACGATTGTTTTTATCCCAATCACAGAAGCACATTCATCTTCATGTTTAGAGATCAGATTTTGCGATGACTTTCCATCCACTGTTGAAGGACGTTTTTTTTTTTTTTTTTTTCTTATTGTGTAATAAGATGCAATCACTATTAACATCTCATCTACACAGTCCTCAATGCTTAACCAGATGTAAACCCAAACCAGGGCCACTACACTGAAAATGTTTTTTTTTTTAACTCTTCCAATTTATCTACAATTTATCTCTTGACTTTCATTCAAAACATTAATGTCAAAAGTGGCCCAAAACAAGTGTGTAATATAAGAATCTATGAACACCTTAAAGAAAAGCTCCTCCGCTCTGTGTCACAGTCGGTGTCTGTGCGTCCTTGTCTCCTTGTGCTGTCGAATCTCCACACAGGATTGTGTGACCCGTTGTCTTAAGGCCTATTTTCCCCTCCTTTAATTCTGTCAATGTGTGCTAATGAATGGTGAGTGTATGTGTGTGTGTGCCTGTTTTTCCATATCTTATGTTTTTATTTCTGTCTCGCAGGCCGTAGTTCCTTTTTAACAGCTGCCTCAGGATCCTGACCTGCGGGTTTAGGGAGGAGAACTGTTTTAATATACGGTTAACTGGATGAGGGAAGACACCAGCATTGTTCATGTGTATACAGACTACAAATTTGACACGCATAAAAAAAAAATGGAGGTGTATAGGAAGGTGTAAAGAAGTCTCCTGTATTTATTAATGTAAATCCTCAGACAGTACAAACTGGCGAAATTCTCAGTCATGCTTTAAGTTGTCGAAAACAAACACAAAAAATCTGAAGCGATCATGTTAGAAGATGAGCAATAATCTGTAATATTAATGAATAAAACTGTAAAAAGTGGAATGTTTTGTGTGGTTAATTTGTCCGGTCAGGCTGTATTGGTTTGCCGGGGTGGAGGGGATCCATGTGTGCTGCTGCCTCAGTGAGCTCATCCGAGCCAGCGGCGGTCAGACGGCGCCGTCTCTGACATCTCCAGAGCTGACGCAGAATTTGAAGGGGTTTTTTTTGTTTTGTTTTTTTGTCCTAAAGACGCTTTGACTGCTTTTTGATCATTTCTTTTCCCTCCTCTGAGTGGTCTCAGGCTGTTCACTTCCATTAAAACAATCTGGCCCCAGCCATGAAATGAACCTGTCACTTATACTTCAGTAGCGTTGGCACTTATTTCAGTATTCAGTTTGATCGTTGAGCTCTTTCAAAGGTCAAGGAATTGTTGTCGTGATCCGTTCAGAATATTGCAAAAGTATTTCTCATTGCGAACTTTCTGATGGAGCAAACCTTGTTTGTTTACTACAAACGAGGTACTATTTAAATGTGATTGTGACGACGTGCTTTAATAAGCTGCTGTCATCCCAGATTTAAATGGTGGAGGCGGCATCATCCTGTGGGAATGTCTTTCTTCAGCGAGGACAGAGAAGTTAATAGGAAAATTGATGGACCCTCCAGCTGGTTGAGGAGTGACAAACATCAAGAATATTTGATCAAAAGCATTGATCTAAAGATACAATTACTACAAATAAAACTCAGAATTGACATGAGTAGGTGACCTTACAAATTGAATTATAAAATGTTAAGGTTTTAAAGACATGACATAATCAAATATACATTCTGAAAAGGGAAAGAACAATAAAAATTCTACTTCTGAAAATGTTCTTGTAGAAATGACCAGTATCTCCCAACACCCTTTTCAAACACATCTTTTGGACCCTCTGAGCTTCTTTAGAATTTGATTTTGTTTTTAATCCAAATGAGTTTTGTCATTATTTTTCTTAATATTGATGAACAAGGACTCATTACATTGGCAGATTATTTCACTTAAAGCAAGGGAAAGATGTCCAGTTATAAGTTAAATTAATATGCCAATATAACTACTATTTTTTAACAATACTAAAGAATTATTGACTTTGAACAAGCTCATATCTTGATGAAAAGTTGCATGTAAGTTAGTTTTATCTTTAGTGTACAGACACATTAGCACAAGAAAGTATTCCAAAAATACTTGATAAGACCTTATGTTTTTGCAATGTGGCTCAAACATACACATTTAAATTGTGAAACCAAAAAGTGGTTAAAAAGACACTCATTTATTCAGAAGAATAAAACAGAACCTGACCAGGAGACGAACCCACAGAATAAGGTAGGAGAATATTATCGTAGAAATGCAAGAGGCTGTGAATGTGAGTAGAACTGCACAAGTTTGAGTCACTGAAAATGCAGCAGCAGCTTGGCTGAATTTTCTGATGACAAAAATCATAAAGAAAGGTGTCATGTTTTCCTTAAAAAAAGAAAAAAAAACATAATTCAAGGCTGGTTGGCGAATATAAAACATGAAGTTGCAGGTTTACTTAAAACAAAAAAAAGAGAAACTTAGTTGAGCAATGTCACTAAATAAAATTACTTACAATATTTATTGAACAATACTACATTTACGTATTTTAGTTTGATCAATAAGAAAAATAATAAATGCAGGTTCTCACAGCGCGTAACTACGATATAAAATCTGTGAGCCTCGTCCTGTTATTGCCATGTGTTCTCTACATATGGTTAATTGTACACCCACGTCAGCTTAGGTGATTTTCACAGTGTGGGCGCTGCTGGTTGCAGCCAACCAAACAGTCCCCACCTCCTCCTATCAATAATTCACTTTCTCTGCTGTGGACAGGTTGATGGTGGGGGGTCAAGAGGTCACAGAGAGGTTTTCCCACCAACACCTTCCCGTCGGTGGAGCGTTTAAAGCGGACGAGTCCAAGTCTGAGGTTTGAATATCCTGGTAAATTATGAGACTTCAGCTGTGTTATACTATCACTCATCGAGGCACTGCATTTAGCCAGGAAAAAAAGAAGTGAAAACCAGTTAAATGTTTAATAGGCTATAGCTCTAACTACTGTGGAAAAAAATAAATCATTGTCTAAATTTTCTAAAACATGTCAGTCACTGAATGTTTAAAGATAAATGATTTTGTCACAAAATAAAAAAATGTAACAACAATAACAACAATCAGTAATTTGTAAAAACAGAACAAATGTAAACAATTTCACAAAAGGCCGATTTCTGAATGTCGTTTCTGTGCATCTCTCTGAAATTAGCTTTGATCCGACACGTCTTTTATTTCAAAAATATTTTCACTTCCTTTCTTTTCTGGCAGCCTGGCATGGTATTATATTGAATTTTCTGATCTTGTATTTAAAAAAAAAAAACAAACTTGCTCATGAATATACCAGAAAGGCTTGTAGTTGTAGAATCCACACAGAATATATGAACGAGGAAAAAGTTCAAACAATTTTCAGAGTTTTCTCAGGGCTCTGGAAATAGCTGCGAGCCATTTCCCTTCTCACTGGCACACTGACATTAACGGGAGGGGGTCAACTCACGCCGCTCTCTCTGCTGTCTGAGTGTAACCCCGCCCTCTCGGGACACGCGGGGACAGCGAATCAAGCAGATTTGTGAAAGGGGGGCAACAGAATCCGCAGCGAGAGAAACAGATAGAAAGAATAGGAGGACACCCTCAACTTGGTTCCCCCGGAGTGGAGCAGCTCCTCCTGGTGCGGTGCAGTCTCGGCTCTCCGCCGGACCGGGCATGCTCGACCCGCCGCGGAGAGAGTGATCCGCGCCGCAGCGAGCAAAGATGCAGGCGGA